GGGGGGGGGGGTTGCTGTAGGTGCAGCTGGGAGCCAGAGCTGAGCCCGGAGAGGTAGGTGGAAAGCTCCTCGTGGGTCTTTCCCTCTTGTCTGGCGCTGGACTGCTGCGTCCTGGGTGTGACAGGATTTGAGCCCGTAGACCGAAGGCCTGTCGTCAGCTCTTAGCAAGTATGTTTTGTGTCTTAACCTCCTTTAAAATATTGAGATTTAGGGCTATAAGGAACCTTAGCGATCACCTAGTGACTCTTTCTGAGGCCCAGAGAGGGTGAGCAACTCGCCCCCGCTCACACAGCAAGTCTGTGAGCGGCAGAAGCAGGGCTAAGTCTGGGCGTTTGGCACGCACCCCGAGGTGCCCCCTCTCCTGATGCTCCCTCTGCCCTTGAGGCCTTCAGAGAATGGAGGTGTTTTCCCCGAGCCTGTCTCTAGATGGGTCTTTGAGGGCTCCTGTAAGTTCTGTGTACACGCCCACGTTTGTCTACATGCACCCGTGTGAACACCGAGATGTGCGTGTGCCCCGACTCCAGCTCTGCGTACCCGCTGCCTCCACCCTGCCACCTGCCGCTCAAGTCAGCGGCTCTGACCCTGCTTCTGTGCCCTCGCCCGGCCCCGGCCTGAGCCCTCCCAGTGGACTGGGTACCGTGGCCAGGGCAGGCGTGTGACCTGGTCCCACCCAGTGACGCCCCTGCTGCCCCACATCTCCGTGTATGCTACCAATTAAAGTGGGTTTGTTTCTAAGCTGTGTCCTTGACCATGTGTATTTTTCTGTATTTCCAAAGGGCGGCGTGTCTCTTCCTCCAACCAGAGCTGGCCTTTTCCTCCCTGGAATGCACCTGCCTGCTGCCCTTGCCCAGGCGGCAACGCTGAGTTAGTCCTCAAGTTTAAATACGTGGGGAGGGGCGCCTGGGTGGCGCAGTCGGTTAAGCGTCCGACTTCAGCCAGGTCACGATCTCGCGGTCCGTGAGTTCGAGCCCCGCGTCAGGCTCTGGGCTGATGGCTCAGAGCCTGGAGCCTGTTTCCGATTCTGTGTCTCCCTCTCTCTCTGCCCCTCCCCCGTTCATGCTCTGTCTCTCTCTGTCCCAAAAAAAATAAATAAACGTTAAAAAAAAAAAAAAAGTAAATACGTGGGGAGGGGGCACCCCAAGACAGGAGGTTGTGCACCTGTCTTGGCCCTGCCCTTCTAGGTCTTCTGGGGGGTGTATGCTGAGCTGTCGGTGTCCCTCGAGAGGGGTGGCGGGGTCAAAGACCCCCCCGCCCCCATGGTTCATCAGCCCCTGGGGGCCACCGTATCTAAATTCCGTGCAACTCGTCTTGAGCATTCATTTTGCCTCAGGGAACATTTGGAACTGTCTGGAAACATTCATTTTAAGTTTATTTATTTATATCGAGAGAGAGAGAGAGAGAGAGAGAGAGTGTGTGTGTGCAGGAGGAGCAGAGAAAGAGAGAGAGAGCGAATCCCAAGCAGGCTCCGCACTGCCAGGACAGAACCCGATGCAGGGCTCGAACTCACGAACCGTGAGATCGTGACCTGAGCAGAACTCAAGAGTTGGACGCTTCACCGACTGAGCCACCAGGTGCCGCTGGAAACATTTTTGAATCACCAAGACTTGGGTGGAGGGCACTGCTAGCATCTAGTGGGTAGAGGCCAGGGGTGCTGCTGAGCTCCCCCGTGTCCAGCTCAGCACCCCCATCATAAAGACTTATCTGGCCCCAAATGTCAGTAGTGGGCAGCCTCAGTTGGGACAGTTGGTCCCGGAGGCCAGGACATAGCCCAGGTCCGTGTGGTTGATTTGATGTACAACTTTATGGACAGAATTTAATAGACGCCGGACAAGCAGAGCGAGCCTCGTGTGAGATGAAGCAGGTTGTGGGCGGGGACGGGGGTCGAGGGACAGGGACAAGGTCTCGTCCCTGTGCCACCCTGAACCTGCCACCTTAGGCCATGATTTTCCCTGGGCGGGAGGAAGAGGAGGGGACCAGCCATGCACCTGCCGTGTCTCACGCCGCCCTCACGTTTTCCAGCCCCATGAGAAACATCTCCCCTTGTCCACCCTTTCCCAGCCCTGGTCTTTGTAGAGGAGACAGGCCAACACCATCTCCTGCATCACAGGCCGGTGCTAGATGGTAAGAGCTGGTGGGGAAGCAGCTGGGCACAGCAGAGCAAGCCTTCCCGGGGTGGGGTGGGAGGGGTGCGGCTAGAGCCTGGACCGCCTCCGCTCTCTCCCCCGATTGGCGACTGTAAGTCACGTCCTTTCCCCCTCCCCCCCCCCAGCCCCCGCTGGCTCCAATATCCTCGTCTCTAAATGGGAGGTGGGATCAGGGCAGTTGGACAAGACAACACGCGACCAGCCCCTTGCAACCCTATGTTCTCTGCAAGAAGGAATTAATATTCCTATTATGTAATCCACAGCATTCCGCTCATTGCTAAATAGAACACGCTTGCTCCAGTCCCGGCCCAGCCCGCTCCCCGCACCCCCCAGGCTCACCCTGGGTGGGGTTAATGATCACCGGGCTGGCTGTGGCAGAGAAGGAGACTTGCCCGATGCAAGAGAGGGAGAGAGGGTACAACAGGATTGTAGGAACATTCCCCCACAGTGAAACCATTTACAGACAAGCACAGGACAGCCAGCTTAGCTCCTGACCTCGCGAAGGGAGCCCTGGGAATCTGATTTCAGAGAATTCTGCGCTGCCAACTCTAAGTACTTAGTCTGTTCTGCCTCCCTGAACCTGTCACTTACTCAGAAGAAAAACTTCAGTCTGGGTCACGGCTTGGTGGGGCTGCTGGAAAGCCAGCTGGGGCTCAGCAGCAAAGGCTGCTGGGAACAGGGGTAGGGACAGAGGGCTGGCCTTTGTTGAAGACCTACCGTGCACAGGGTGCCGTGCTCAGTCTGTTACCTGCACCCACTTACTGGATCCTCGTGGCAAAGCTATGTGGAGGGATTATGACTCCCTTTCTACATACCAGGGAACCGAGGCTCAGAGAGGCGAAGCCACTTGCCCGAGGTTGCACAGCTGTGTGGGCAGAGCTGAGCTAGAATCCACGTCTGATTGCAAAGCATGTTTTCTCCCCAGAGCTTTCATAACTGAGTTGGCTGAGGGGCTGCCCTCCGGAGGGAGAGAGGCTGGAGGGTTGAGGTCCTTCTGAACATAGTTCAGCAGCCTTGAGCAGATGTCATCACAGGGAGTAAGATACTCTGCGGCTCATCGCAAAAGGCCCAGCCCCTGTAATAGAAGAGCTTGACTTCTGTTTCATGGAAAAGTCCACCAGTGCCCGAGGGCGGCTCTGCTCCACAGGCCGTTTGGGCATCCAGGTTTCAGGCCGCCCCATCTCTTGGACCAGGCCACCATCTGCAAGGTCAGAGCCACCACCACATTCAGGTTCAGCCAGAGGGGTAGGGGAAGAGAGCGCCGAGGATACATGTCTGCGGCTTTCGGGGGCCTTGGACGCACCCCTCCCTCTCCCTTCCGCTGGCCACGCACACCTGTAAGAAGGGCTGGGACAGACAGCTCCTTGCCAGGTGGCCCCACGTCCAGTGGCAATCCTCACGGAGACACGGGAGACGCAATCCGTCTGGCCAGCTAACGGGCCACCCGGCACCCTCCCGCATCGGGTCCAGGCCTCGGGACGCCATGTGCGCCCGACCTCACTCAGGAAGCGTCTCCACCTTCCCTGCTTCCTTAAAGCCGATCTGGGCTTTATTCTCCCCTGTCCCTCGATGAAAACGCGTCCAT